GAAGTAGGCACTATAAACATTCCTACATGTGAATTCTAAATACGTTTATAACGATGGCCTGAGACTGACTGGATATAACTGATGTAAAATAGTGAGATAATTCATGTACACAAGATATATAAATGGTGTTCGTCATCAAGCTGATGAGTGGAAGTGTTCTTTGCCTATCACCCTTAGCTTTTCAATTTTTTTATCCCACAAAACCTACCGTTTTGTACTGAAGAAGACTCCCTCGTCTAAATTGAAGTTCGTAGCTTGTACGGTGTTGTGATGTTCAATCCCAGGTTGTGTACCTTTCACTTTGGCTTGTAGATTACAATCGTATCAATCAGTGAACACCTTTTCATTTTCGTGTTTTGGCAAGGCCTTAGATATTTTTTACTTGTATCTTTTTATTTATCAACCATATATTATATTAGTCACTTGTTACTTGATCGTACAGCTGAAGCCTCACTAACTCAAATGAGTGTCGAGTTCTCAGTCGGTTTCGCACCTCAGGTGATACATTTTTCCTACAGTTCAGTTCTACAACGCTGTCAGTTCCGAACTTAGAGTTTACTAATTCGTCTTACATTTGACGTTTTTGTCATCCTTGGAAAATGCTTTCTTATATTTCAAAAAATGGCTATGGAGCCCCATTTATTATGCACATTCTGAGCGTGGCCGTGAGAATCTTCGCTGTCGTTATATGATAATGTATTCCTTTCCCCCTATACGGCGGTTGACTCTTCTTTTTACTGAAGCTTGAGGCGGTCTCTAAGGCTGAACTAGCGCCTCTGGTCCAACCAAGTTGACTCTTATGGTGTTGTAAAGCACATAAATGATGCTTTTCTATTGTTGTGTGCAAAACTGCCTCTTTTAGGTGTAGCCTCGTTTAAGTCGAAATCTTTCAGACTGCTTTAAGTCATAAAAATATTGTACGAAAAAATCAAAAACTAGGAAATACCGGTAACTTCATCAGTTTATCTGTTTCCCGAAGTGAAACATTTTCTTCATGCCAATGGATTGCTTGCGTGTGCAATTTCGACTACTCTCATCTCGTTCTAATTTGTGGAAAAAGCTTTCACTGCGTTTATCGTTACAAATTTTGACCGCTTTCAAGTTACTTTGCTTGCTTTATTCAATCTTTATAATTTTTAAGCTTTTTGAAGTTGACAGAACCTTCACAGTAACAGATAATTTTTTCATCTTTAAGAATTAGATGGTCGGCATTTTATTAAATAACGAACTACACTTATCCAATCAAACCATCTAGTCGCTTTGGTTCAGCGTCAAAACTGCTTTTTAACTAGCCCCTTTGGCTCTTTTTTTTTCGTTGCAAGTTTGAAAAGGACTGAAATCGATGGGGAACGTTTGCCATATTAGTCTTCAATAAGCAACAATCAACCACGAAAATCACTTCAAATCTCATTGTTTACCGCAGTCTAAATTTTACACCATTTTAAAATCAAATTAATCTCTCACTAAGCATGTCAATAGTTAAGTCAAACCCCTATTTTGATTTACTCTTTTGTTTATTTTCACAGATTCACTCTCTGTATCTGTCTGATGGACTACCTAGAGATTCTCCTCCGATTTCAGGAAGCTGTCTTCACCAACATCAGTAAATACTTCTCATTGTCTACAGAGGCCCGACAGTGTCAACTGGTTTCTCTGGTTCAATGTATTCAAGACAGTGCCGCCCTCTACGACCTTATCCTCAAAACCCTCATCCAGCTTCACACAGTGGTAAGCGTTGATGCTCTCGCTGGACATCGTCAAAGGTTTAATGCGGAGTACTATAAGCTCAGAGATTTCTTCCGGACGGCCAATCGATCACAGTACTTTAAGGACCTTCTGAAAATTCCGATGCTGCCTGATGTGAGCCACACACACA